ATCCTTGGATTGGGTAGAAAAATTCGAGTGATAGAAAGGCTCAAATCACACGAGTTAGGGATAGCTTTTACCTAAAGTTAAGTCATGTATCTACTTTTTTTTATCTTTCTTAAGCTCTCTTTGTCCTCGCAAACGACAGCTTCATTCATGCAACGCGCTCCTCACATAAATTTTCTACGAACTGGCATTTAAGGCTACAATTGCTTCTGCAAGGTATTACGACGGTCTGCGAAGCTACCAACTAATGTGACATGGTACATGAACGCATACGTGGAATCCAGGGCAGCACGACGCGGTGGTGCGTTGGAGCTGGCCTAACATGGCAAAAACGAGTTGGTTATGCCAGGTTGGCGTGAACTGTCTTATCTAGGTTACGTTAAAGAATGGTTTGTTAATCTGGCTCTTTGGATAAATAAAGATTACATGGGAAATGGATATGTAAATATAACGGTATTTTCATTGTTTAGGTAGGAAAATAAAAACCTTATCCAGTCATAACTTCTCTTGGATGCCATCTCACGGCCAGTCAACATCCCACTAGAACCCTTCCTTCACAGTTAACCAGCTATACCTCCGGTCTCTACACATTTACTTGTTTTGTCGCAACTCATGGAGTAACAACTAATCATCCTTGCACTATTCGATAAGGAACATGAGATCATCACAAAGATGAAGAGGAAGTTGAGGTTGTTTAGGTCTAACGCCTCTCTCTCTCTCTCTCTCTCTCTCTCTCTCAAGGTAAGGCATGAAGAAACAACCTATGGCAAGCAGGTGAGCTTAGCAGGAGAGCCTAAAGACAAGAAGGATGATTCATTTGGCTGGAACACTATATGTTTCGATAATTTAATAGAGAATATTAAAAAATTATCATCACTCTAGTGACCATTTGTAGTTTTATAAAAAAATTGAAAACGTCCTTCGAATACGAGAGAAAACATCAATTTACGACTGAAAATCTTTCTCACCCCTCTAAGCTGAAATATTTTCTTGGAAGATTGTAAGCTGAAATATTTTACGGCCTTACTTTGTCACAAAATTAGTAAGGATGTCCACATTCTTGGAGGGTTCCTCTTCCAAATCCCAAGAAGAAACGGAGCACAAGAGCCAAAAACCCCTAATTTTTTACAATTTGGCCCTTTTTTGAAGAAAAATTATGTTTGCCCCCCTGAGACGTAAACTCATCTTTAGATCCTTGTGGTCAGCGTCAGGACTCATGGCGCCGAGGTAACACTTCTCGGCGCCACAGATCTTGGCTCCGATGTGCCTGGCCATGCACAGCAGGGCATCCTAGGTGGCGTTGACGTGGCCGGTACCTCGGCGCCACAGATCTTGGCGCCGACCTCGGAGATGTCAGATGATGTGCTGCGACGGAGGTGATGAGACGTGCAAGCGGTAGTAGGCCCACACACCACACACTACTCTCCTATCCTCCCCGGTAGGTGCCTGCCACTCTGCCATCATGCGCGTGCTCGGTGCATGCTGCTTTTGCCCCTGCAGGTGGAGAGCTGTAGCGTCAAATCATCTAGCCCCTACTCGTCCCAAATTATCTCGCGCTTTAGGTTTTCGTGCCGCAAATTTAACAAAATACGTGCAATATTTGTATCTCCAAATAAATTTATTCAAAAACTAGATTCAAAGATTTTTCCAACGATACCAATTATGTACCATAAATATTAATTTTTTTTAATATATATTTTGTCAAAGTTATTTCTCGGGAAACGAAAACGATAGATAGTTTGAGACGGAGGGAGTACCTGTTCATGGATATTCATTCCGCATCTAGCCCCTACTCATGTACGTATATGTATATTCATTTCTTTAGTAAGAGCATTGAACCATATTTTACTACTTCAGTTTAAGTGTAAGTTCTGTATTTAACTGGTGTAATTTTTTGATATTTTTTAATTTGTTCCAATTTGCTTGTTATAGAACTAATCTGAGTTTTTTTCTATATATTTTTTTAATTTGTATGTTCTATTTGATATTTTTGAATTTCTTCCAATTTGCCATTCATAGAACTAATATGTTAAATTTGTATGTTTTATTTGTTTTCTATCTAGATTTCTTTCAATTTGCATTCCATAGAATTAAATCTGATATGTGATAATTTGTAGTTCTATGTTCTCTTTAATTTGGTTCGTTAAATGCTGAGTGTGTGGCTATGGAAATCTAGTGTGACTTGGTCTTAACACTCGAATTTTGCATGGTTCTTGGAATAGAGTTGTCGGTGCAGAAAGTGACCAACACGTAAATATTTATAGTTTTACCGTACGTTGTGATCGGATGTGGCCTAGCACTTAGATGCTCGAAGTTTGCTGTGGGGTTACAAATGGAAGGGAGAAAGATGGGGGGCGTAAGAGGTCCGGTCGGACTCTAGTCTGAAGGGTCAAGAGCGACAGGAGCTCCGCTATGTGCTAAGTGTTCGAGCGTGAGCTCCGTGTAGCTTTAGAGTGTCTAAAGCTAGGAGAGGGTGAACTGATGTAAGTGAACTGATGGATCTCCCCTGTTGAGAGAGAGCGCATCCCCTTTTATAGATGAAGGAGATGGCCTTACAAGAGAGAGAGAGAGAGTACGTATGCTACTAAGTCTTGTTGCCCACGCCATCAGATACAAGATGATGGTAGGCGCTCATAATACTGTTGTTGTCAGACGCATGTGGGTGGTTTTACCGTGTTCACCGTGTATGGTAAATGACGATGCCCACAATACTATTGATGCCCAGATACATGTGGGGAGTCCTAACGTGTTCGCCTAGTATGGGAATTGATGCCGCCCATAACACTGTAGGGTAAAACTTCGGCGCCCACAGCACTGCTAGGGTTCTGACATGTCTGGAAGGTTGCAGGGCACCCTTCTGACATGCCCTGTCGGTACTGTCCTGCAGGTGTACAAGGTACGGTCCTCGGTATTATAGTTTGATTCGAGTGTCCTGCTTTACCTGCTCCGTCCGTTTACCTGGTCCTCACCGAGCGGGCGTCCCCGGTCGGTTGGCCCCAGTAGGCTCAACTGCGTCAGTCGGAGAAGAGCTATAAGCAGGGATTCAGTGCATCTCCGGTCGGAGACGCGGGTCGGAGTCAGAAGCGGTGTTTGGCTAGGCCTTCCGATCGGAGAGGTGGGTTGGAGTCGAAAGCGAGCGCTCCTTCCAGTCGGAGAGGCGGGCCGGAGTCGAAAACGAGCGTTGTTCCTCTTTGGCCAGGCCTTCCGGTCGGAAAGGCGGTCCTGAGTCAGAAGCAAGTGTTGTTCCTCCTTGGTCAGGCCTTTCGGTCAGAGATTGGATCGCCCTTCTGGCCTGTCGTTTAGGTATTTGGGCCGGCCCAGAAGTTACGCGTCGTTCGCAACGTCGTCTGCTGAGTCAAGCCTTTGCTGAAAAGTCGATACATGAGGAACCCCGGACTTATGAACCCCACAAGATTGTTTCAGAGGACTGTCACTAGGGCGTCAAGAGAGTCTAAAATACTCGAGTTGAGAGTAGACAGACCCTTCGAATAAAACTACAGCGTGGTCTTTTTTTAAAGCTCAACCAAACGTCAAATCAAATCATTTCAGATAATTAAATTAAAGTACGGTTTTTTGTTTTCTGGAGCTCGTGTGTGTCACGAAATAAGTTGCTTGAGATTGACGCGGTACATCAATCATCTTATCTTATCTAAAGAGAAGAACAAAGACCCAATTAATGATTGCCCGGGCCTAGATGTGGCCTGAGCATATGGCATGTTTGGTAGACGGCCTTGCCTATTCATTCATCCGACTAGATGTTGCTGAGGTTCCCAGAACCCAGCCGAGATAGATTATGAGAGTAGCAATGGAAACAGGCTAGCCCAGCTCATGTATAGGTTTAATTTTGTGGGCAACCTGTGATAACCCACGTAATTAAGCATAGTAATCCATCAATCCGTGCTCTCTTATGGACTAGAATATTAAAAGACACTGATCAATAAAAATCACCTTTTTCTCTTATAATAAATCTACCGAATTATTGATCTATATGTATTTTCTTTTCCATATCCATATTTTCATTCCTTTGCATAGTGCCTCCTTGCTCATCTCCAACGCTTCCATATATTTATGGTACATAATTGGCATCGTTGGAAAAATCTTTGAATCTAGTTTTTGAATAAATTTATTTGGAGATACAAATATTACACGTATTTTGTTAAATTTGAGGCACGAAAACCTAAAGCGTGAGATAATTTGGGACGAGTAAGGGCTAGATGATTTGACGCTACAGCTCTAAACCTGCAGGGGCAAAAGCAGCATGCATCGAGCGCGTGCATGGTGGCAGACTGGCAGGCACCTGCCGTCCGTGTCAGAGGGGAGGAGAGGAGAGCGGTGTGTGGTGTGTGGGCCTGCTACCGCTTGCATGTCTCATCACCTCCGTCGCAGCACATCATCCAACAGCTCCGAGGTCGGCGCCAAGATCTGTGGCGCCGGGTCGGAGCCATGTATTCTGGCGCTGAGGTACTGGCTACGTCAACACCACCTAAGATGCCCTGCTGTGCACGGCCAGACATCTCGGAGTCAAGATATGTGGCGCCGAGACGTGTTACCTCGGCGCCATAAGTCCTGACACCGATGGCTAGAGTACAAAGATGAGTTTACGTTTTTCGAGGGGTTAAACTTAATTTTTCTTAAAAAAAAGGTAAAATTGTAAAAAATTGGGCAGAACCCCCTCCTCGTCGCGCACCCCTTGCCATTATTTATCCCCTCTCCCTCTCCCTCTCCGCAACAAGCCGTCCCCGCTTCGTCCTACGCCGCCGCCGCCGGATTCGCTCCCTTCTCCGGCGGCCACGCCCATTCCCCGCATCCCCACCTTGCGCCCTCCGCCAGCTCCTCTCGGCCGCCGCGCAACTATCTCCACCCCACGATTACAGCGACCACGACACCAGCAACGCCTCCACCACCAACGGGAAGGATCCATCCAGCCAGTCCACGCATACCCCGTCTTTGACTCGCACTTCGCTTTCCAGATCTAGGCGGGCGGGCAGGCGGGCTGAGGAACGATGAACGGAGGCGCCGCCCCACCATCGGTGGCGAGCGCGGCCACGGCCGCCGCGACGCCGCCTCACCGGCGGCTGCCGGACTTCCTCCAGAGCGTGAACCTCAAGTACGTCAAGCTGGGGTACCACTACCTCATCACCCACCTGCTGACGTTGATGCTGCTCCCGCTGATGGCCGTGATCCTCCTCGAGGCCGGGCCCACCGACCCCGACGACCTGCGGCAGCTGTGGCTCCACCTCCAGTACAACCTCGTGTCCGTGCTCGTCCTCTCCGCCGTGCTCGTGTTCGGCGCCACCGTGTACGTGCTCACCCGCCCCCGCCCCGTCTACCTGGTGGACTTCGCCTGCTACAAGCCGCCCGCCCACCTCCAGGTCCCGTTCGAGGAGTTCATGCGCCACTCCAAGCTGTGCGGCTTCTCCGAGGACGCGCTGGAGTTCCAGCGCAAGATCCTGGAGCGGTCCGGGCTCAGCGAGGAGACGTACGCCCCCGAGGCCATGCACGCGATCCCGCCGCAGCCCACGATGGCCAACGCCCGCGCCGAGGCCGAGACCGTCATGTTCGGCGCGCTCGACAACCTGTTCAGGTCCACGGGCGTCAAGCCCAAGGACGTTGGCGTGCTCGTGGTGAACTGCAGCCTCTTCAACCCCACGCCGTCGCTGTCGGCCATGATCGTGAACAAGTACAAGCTCCGCGGGAACATCCGCAGCTTCAACCTCGGCGGGATGGGGTGCAGCGCCGGCGTGATCGCCGTGGACCTGGCCCGCGACATGCTGCAGGTGCACCGCGGCACCTACGCCGTGGTGGTAAGCACGGAGAACATCACCCAGAACTGGTACTTCGGGAACCGCAAGTCGATGCTGATCCCGAACTGCCTGTTCCGCGTGGGCGGCGCGGCGGTGCTGCTGTCGAACCGCGGCGCGGACCGGCGGCGCGCCAAGTACTCGCTGAGGCACGTGGTGCGCACGCACAAGGGCGCGGACGACAAGGCGTTCAACTGCGTGTACCAGGAGCAGGACGGCGAGGGCAAGACCGGCGTGTCGCTGTCCAAGGACCTGATGGCCATCGCGGGCGGCGCGCTCAAGACCAACATCACGACGCTGGGCCCGCTGGTGCTCCCCGTGAGCGAGCAGCTGCTCTTCTTTGCGACGCTGGTGGCGAAGAAGCTGCTGAGCGCCAAGATGAAGCCCTACATCCCGGACTTCAAGCTGGCGTTCGAGCACTTCTGCATCCACGCGGGCGGGCGCGCGGTGATCGACGAGCTGGAGAAGAACCTGCAGCTGAGCCCCGCCCACGTGGAGGCGTCCCGGATGACGCTCCACCGGTTCGGCAACACCTCCAGCAGCTCCATCTGGTACGAGCTCGCCTACATGGAAGCCAAGGGCCGCGTCCGCCGCGGCCACCGCATCTGGCAGATCGCCTTCGGCAGCGGGTTCAAGTGCAACAGCGCCGTGTGGCACGCCCTGCGCAACGTCAAGCCGTCGCCCGACAACCCCTGGGAGGACTGCATTGACCGCTACCCGGTGGAGCTCGTCGACGGCTTCCCCACGCACAAACCGCAGCAATAGTCCCTAGTAGTATCTGTTCTGTTCTGTATCCCACCCCGCCTCCTCTCCTCCAGTCCACTCCACACATCCATCCATCCATGGACACAGAAATCTTAGCCTCAAATCCTCACCTTGCTGGCTAGTGGTGTGTAGTGACATATACACGGGGCGAGGGCGGGGCTGCTTTCCCTGGACATGAATGATTGCATTGGAAGAATCTCTAGGCTTTCCCTGGACAGGCCTCCTCTTCTCTGTTCAGTTGTGTAACCAAGTGTTCGGCAGCATCGGGTCTTTGGTGTGTACTTCATGGATCATCCGGTCCGAGTCCGAGCGAGAGCATGGTCCCCCTCCCCCAGCTTGTCGCTGCACCTGAACCTGTGGTAAGCTTGAGTAGTGCTGATGATTGTTGATTTGTTGTATGTACATTTGTCTGTTCAGCCATTGCTGCCAGCTGATTGTCATTTACCGGTACTACTAGCTAGTGGTCCAGGCTCCGGATTACAGAGGAAGAGGGTCCATTCCTCTCAATTTTACCAAAAAGAAGTGTCTTGAGTGTGCCGATGGACGGATCGATCGAGTCTCTGTTTGTCGTGTTCAATTGGAAATCTTGCTCTTGCTCTTTTTAACTATGCCCTATGTATATCACTGGCCTGCCTTTGATGAGCAGATGTATGCATTATAGCTGTTTTTTTTTCCTTCAACAGATTATCTTGTTAAATTCCTAATCTCTGAGAGGTGATTTTGTTCACACAAGTTGTTTTACTTCTCTCTGTCAGTTTGTTCAGTTATATTCCCTGTTAAACTGAAGTCTAAAATATTCATCAGCGCCGTGCATACAGCCATGGCCCCCCCGCCTCTGGACCCTTGGTCAAAGATGAAACTGAGCATCATGTTCCTTGTGCTGGCTGCTGGGCCACGTTATAGTACGGGCCCTCTCTCCAACTCCGATGTGTCATCTTGTCTGGCCAAATGTGTTAATCAAGTACTCTATTTTCTTATGGATTGAAGTACTCAGAAACCAGCCAGTGGTAAGTGAAGCGAACACCGTGCCAACTGCCAAGCAAACAATGATGCAGGACAACTGCTAATGCTGCCAAGCGACATCCGTTGGTTACTACTACGAGTAGGATTTAATTTGGAAGGGTGTGCAATTTGCTGAAGCTGGCAGGAGTAATTAAAAAGGACACCGGGCGCCATCTCGCCATCTAGTCTAACAAAGCTGCCTCGACTAGGTGCCTTGTGTGTCTAACTACACGATACGTGCCCATTAAACAAGATACCGCCCATATATGAACCTCAACTTGATGCCAGTATAGCATCGACGATTGAATATAAAAGCTGCTTTTTTTTTAGCAAATATAAAAGCTGCTATATATGGATGTAGAAGCTGCTATATATATGAATATTGAGGTTCATCTTTTTATGGCCGTATATGAACCTCAAAATACTGCCATATATGAATAATATAATAAAAGCTGCCATACCTGAACCTCAACATGTGCCTCCCTATCGCTTCAGTCTCACTTTCCGGTTTAGCAAAGGCCCAGCCCATCTGCACTTGCCAAGGATTCTAAGACTGGGCCAGAGTGAGGTCCGAAAATAGAACCCAAGCCCTGAAAGTGACGGGGGGAGCCCAATACAGCCAGGCGGGCCGTGTGTCTGAGCTAACTCGCTTTCCACCCAGATCTGTGATGAAGGGTTCAAGGATAATACCAGCTATTCGACTTCAACTGGTTTGCGGTGTGGCCATGAACCAAAGGTTAATTGTTAGCTAGCTAAAAATTAGTTAAAATCAGCTCTAGTATATTTTAAAACATAAGGCTAATAGGTGGATTAATTTTTTAGCAAGACTTCTACCGGCTGTTCGGCTAATGGTTTTTACGGCTCATAAACCAGCTGATGTTGTTCACTATATCATGGTTGATAAGCCGGGCCGATAAATTCAAGCGAACAGGACAATCCATCTCCTCACTAGTCACTTACGTCTTCTCTTCGTGCGCGAGATATCATATACTGACAGGAGTAGTACTACAAGATATAGTACATATATCAATAAATATGTTAACATGGCCAGATAAAGAAAATTATGGCTGAAAGTACTGTTGGTTGATTTGTTGTGAGAGAAAAATATTGTTCATTGGCTAAAAAAATATGGCTTATAAGCCAAGCGAACAGGGCATAGACCTAGACCGGGCAATACAGCTTGCGACAACAAAACAACTGAGGCCGCTGATATAGTACTACCTGCGTTTTCTTTTATAAGATGCAACTTAACATGACATGATCATCTAATTAACACTTTGACCATCTATTTATTTATATCATACCTTTTATGTTTATAAATTTATGAAAAATGGATAGTATATTTGACTATAAGTCTAACCTTATCAAGTATATATTATAATAGTTAGAAATTGTAAAACTAAATTATTAGTCAAAAAAATTCAAATCTCAATCTTGATATATATACATGTGTGCCTTATAAAAATATGAAGGTAGTATTATATATACTAAATCAATATGGAGGTAGTATTATATATATATATACTAAATCTTTGATGTGAAATGTGTACTCGCTTGTCCAACAATAAACGGCCACCTTATGTTTTGAAGAGTCAACCAATATTAAATTTTACTCAATACATAAAAAGAATATTAGTGTTTACGTACGATACTAAAGAAGCATTATTAGATTAATCACACGCTATGTATGTATTTTTATAGTAAATCTATTTAAAAATACATATGTCATTATTTTTTTTATAAATTTAGTTAAATTGAAAATTAGCTGATCTTAAGCCGCGAGACGTACGTATACTTATTTTAGGACCGAGGTGCTTAAGATGATTGTGCAGTTTGGGGCCCGGTGTACGGCGACTGGTAGTACGTCGTGCGTGACTGGTGTGTCGTGCGTACGTACTCGATCGCCTGTGTGCCACTGCTCCGTGTGCGGCTCAGTCAGGCGTGCGTGCATGGGTGCATTTGCAGAACGAAACTGCATGCAGCAGGTACGTACCCCGTACGGCGCACATGTAGCGGATGGAGCTGGACACTGCTGGACGGCGGCGGTGTCGGCACTCGGCACTCGGCACTCGGCACTCGGCACTCGGCTCTTTAATTTGATTTGGCTGTGGCCAGCGTCCAGCGCAAGCGGTAAATGGAAATATGGAATCATCATCAGGCTAATGCTCCATCGGCTTTGGCTTTCTCTGCACAACCGATCGGCCGGCTTTGGAAATTAAAGATGGGAGTAGCAGCTTTGACCTAACCAGTCGTTACGACAAGAACGAGCGATGACAACTGATTGAGAGAGACCGCAGAGACGTGATCCAACTGTGTGTAAACTAAATCGAAATCGGCAAAAGCGAAGATAAAATCTGATTTGATGTCGCATGTCCGGGGGACATTGCCTGGTTTCTTGGGACAACTGGTCTTACATGTACAAATTATAATCGCAAGGTTTGGGGGGCACTGGACACCGAGGAATTAACATATCCTGGCCGGGTCCTGAAAAAAGAAGTGTAATGCTATGTTTGAGATTAGTCAAAAAAAAGTTTAAGTTTGACCTATTTTATAAGAAATAATATCAACATTTATGGAGTATCTCTAAATAGATTTACTATGAAATATATTTCGTAATTAATCAAATGGTAGTTATTGATATACTAAAAGAGAACAGACGTTATCATCAACTACCAAAACTCGTATTGATTTCGACAATGACTCATATTTTACAGTTGGATTGACGGAGAAGCTTATTACTAAAAGAGTCATGCAAATGTTGCCTCTCTCTCACTCCAAGATTTCTTAGCATTGATGATTTTCTTGACTTAGATTTCAAAGACATACTTTTAATATGTTCAGAAATGCCTCTCCAGCTCAAAGATTTCCTAACATTTATTCTAACCCCCTAGTTAATATGTTCAGAGATGTGTCTACATTTATTTATTTTTCTTTATGACTTGTACTTTTAATGCAGAACTATCTGTTTGAGGATTCACCAACATAAATATGCATTGAGATTTGGCTTGTTGTATGCTATAAATAGATGTGCCCGTGCAGTGATGGTATGCACAACCGCAACATTCATCATTTGTAGAGTACTAGCACAAAAGAAATACTAGCAATATCGATACCATACTAGTAGTCCATGATATGATGGCTATAAAAGCAATCATCCATGTCCTAGTCTTCTGTTTAGTTTTTACAACGTTCACAACACACAAAGCTTGTGGTGAGGATGATTGTTACCAAGAAAAAAGATTTGGTTATCCTCAGTTGCAAGCAAACCATCGAAATTGGTACACCATACGCTCGAGCCAAACACAAAATGTGCCGTAATGCCGTGCAAAATTCTAACATGCCTTGCATTTGTCGCAACATTAGAGTTGAAGAGGAGCACTTCATCAGCGTGAGCAAGCTTGTTAAACTTGCACGCGAATGTCACAACGCAGTGCCACCTAAAAGCAAATGTGGAAGTAAGTGTGTCTAATATCACCTGTCTTGGTTTAATTTTAGAAAAAAATATCAGTATAATTCCTTTATTGAGTTACGATTTGAGCAACAAAATTATAAAATATTTTTCAATTGACCAGCGAAAGCAACTTTTATAGTAAATAATAAATTTCTGGATTTTTTTCTCAGCATGGACTGTTCTACCGCAACTGTCGCCGTAACGCCGAGGGGTCATCAATAAGAGCTTATAGAAGTGAGCAACCGATGTATTAATCATGAAATAAAATGATAAATTTGTACTCGGTTGTTTTTGGTGTCATGTAAAGTCGGTGTCATATAGTATGCAGTGGCATAAATTAATATTACAAATCATTTTCTAAAGCTACTATTACAACACCGCTTGGGGAATATTGGCAAATAAGTCTAACAATTTGGAAAATCAATGTCTCTTCTAGTAATCCTATTATATCGTGCTCGTTGTTTGTTTGCCTAGTAGATCTTCGTCTTTCTCCTTTTTCCTTATTCTACGGGCACACCCTATTTTAAAACTAAAACCAAATATAAAC